CCTCGGGCGAGAGGTCAGTCACCGGGTTCCAGCTGATGGGATAGCGAGCTTCCAATGCTTCTTGGCTCGCGGTCAACTCGGCCATGCTGCGCTTGCGATCTAGTCCAAACAAAGCATGCCACTTTTGCGAGGCCACTTGATGCATCAGTCGCGACGACATTTTGGTTTGCACATGGTCACTGGCTGTGCGCGCATAGGCCCGCTGGGCCGTGTCCCCAGAGTGTTGAGCTTGAGTGTGGATCAGGCTGCCCAGGGCGCCGGTCGTCTCGGCCGACAGTCGATTAATGACAAACGTCGTCATCCAGAAGGTTGCGGCGTGTCGCCACGTGGCCACCCCCAGCTTTGGCCGATGCAGGTACGTGGTCATTTGTCGACGAAATGTCGCATATATGGTGGCTGGGCTGACCATCGTCTGCAGGGGCGCAATGTTGAAGAGCAGGTGGCTGTTGTTGTAGTGGTTTCGAGCGTCCCGGACCTCGCGTCGCAAAGTCATCGTCTCGTCGTGGCTCATGTGGTCTTCATCCAGCTCGTCGGCGAGGAAATCTTCGTCGTCCTGCTCGGCATTGTGAATGCCATTCTCGTCGTCAGGGGTGTCCAGCCCGCCCCGCTTTTGCAGCCAGCTGCTCAGCATGTGCTCCAGAGGCTTGCACAGCAGTAAATACATGAATATCAGCCCCCTTTTCATTATCTAGATCATCATTGTTCCTCACGTCCTCTTTCTTCCTGATCTGTTATTGCTTCTCTTATGGATCGCAGGCGTGCTGATTTCCTGGTCTACGTATCGAAAGGTGTGCTGTTCGTTCAGGGACAGCCAGTAGGTCTTGCTCACGCGGGTCAATATGGAGAGCTGCTTCTCGGCAAAAAAACGCGGCTCGTTGCCGGCCCACGCCGTTTTTGTAGGACAGCCCTTGATACACAGAGGCTCGTGGCGGCAGACCTAGTCAAAGGCAAGCAGGCATGAGTGGCAGGAACAAAAAAAAAAAAAAAAAAAAAAAAAAAAAAAAAAAAAAAAGCCAAGAGACGGCTTGATTCAATCGTACCTCCGGCAATGTGCGTGTAGGTGAGTGCTAGCTCGTTGAACCTGCGCACATATCGGAGCCATACCCGTACCCTGTCCTCTCGAAAGGTCAGCTCGCCACTGGACCCATGCTCCGTTCGGATAAACTCTTGCCGCAGACTCGGGGTCTGGCCAATGTGATCAAACAGCGCGTTCTCGGCTGGACTGCCATGGCCCACCCACCAGTTCTTGACCCTGTTGGTCCGATCCTCCTTCAATCGCAGCCGCTCATTTTCGTTCTCGTACTTCGTCCGCAGGCCTGAGACTAACAAGAGGTGCTTGTCCAATGTTTCCGTCATGTCTTTGCGCATCTGCTCCAAGGCAGCCCCAAGCTCCTCCACATTGAGCTCAATGCCTCGACAGACAATGGTGCGCAGCGTCTCGTCCGTCACGTCGCCTTCGGCTCGGATATCGACGTCGACTCCAGCCTGCCCCTCGGCCACGCTCGCTGTTCGTGCCATGCTCATGCGCTGGCTCAAGAAATGCACCAATCGCCCGGGCTGCATATACGGCCTGAGCTCGTTTATTGGAGTGCAAGCATCGAGCACCTGCCAGATCTCCCTGGAAGGATTGCATCAATGTACTCGACGATGTGCAGCTGCCGCCGCCCGTCGAGGAACCCTCTCGTACACTCTGGGTGTGTTTAGCCACCGGATTATAAGTACGGTCCCGCTGACCGTGAGTGGCATTTTCTTTTGGATATTTCCCTTCCTGTTTTCTATCGTTCTCTCCTGTGAGAGAAGTGCAATTGAACCGCTTTACTGTCTCAGCTCAAATCGTCTTTCAATAGCATCACACGTGATGACATTTTGGCTTGCAATTGGTTGCTTGTTGCGGTAGCCAAGATGCCTTTGGCCATATTATCCAAGGGCTGTGCCTGGGTGCGCATCAGGCTACCCAAAGTGCTCGTGGGGTCGGCAAAGAGCCGATTGGTCACAAATGTTGTCATCCAGAAGGTCGCGGCGTGTCGCCACGTGGCCACTCCCAGCGTTGGCCGATGCAGGTAGGTGGTCATTTGTCGACGAAAGGCAGCGTAGATGGAGGCTGGGCTAAGCATAGTCTGCAGAGGCGCAATGTTGAAGAGCAAGTGGCTGTTGTTGTAGTGGTTTCGAGCGTCCCGGACCTCGCGTCGCAACGTCATCGTTTCGTCGTGGCTCATGTGGTCTTCATCCAGCTCGTCGTCGAGCAAATCTTCGTCATGCTCGGCATTGTGAATACCATTCTCGTCGTCGGGGGTACCTAGCCTGCCCCGCTTTTGCAGCCAGCTGCTCAGCATGTGCTCCAGGGGCTTGCACAGCAGCAAATACATGAATATCAGCGTGCTGAGTTCCTGGTCCATGTAGCGAAAGGTATGTTGTTTGGATCAAAATTCAATGTTTATAGTTGCTGAGGCCCCCTCTATCGGTTCGACGCGTTTGACTGTGGCACATTTGTCAAGCCACAGGCTACATCCCAAAGTCTGAATGCAGCATTGGCCGAGTTGGTACGAGCAAAAAACGGCTTTGATTTCAGAGTCGAGGGGCAGCAGCCACGTGATTGCGCTCATCACGCTCACCGGACAGTTGGGCATGGCACGAGTGCGAGGCGCGCTCACAATGATGGTGCTTCTTGTGCTTCTTCTTGTCTTTTTTGTGCTCGCTTGCTCCTTTCTCCTGCGGCTCGCCGCCCTCATCACCAGCTCGCGCAGCACCGCAACCGCCATATTGAGACACCATTGCCATCAGTCGATGGCATGGCGGATGAAGACGGGGCGGTTGGACTGCTCTGCTTCAGACCTTTGGCAACGCCCACCTTAACCATTGACTTTATTCTCTGATTGCGTAGCGATCGACAAGCCCAGCACAAGCGTCACGCATTTCAATTCGTAGGTGCAGCTTGAGCGGCGAATGTAAGAGTGGCCAGGCCGTTACACAGCGTTTGTAGATCTTGGATATTGAACAAGTGAGGATCCGCGCGCCAGCCGATGCTATAAAGAACAGCAGCAGGGCACCGCCAGCGTCTGACCTGCTCCGCACGAATCAAGCCTTGAACTGGCACCACGTTGAAATCCGATGAGAACAAGCCAATTCGTACAATGATATGGGAATCAGGCTCGCACCAATGGAATTTGCAGTTTGGTAGGAGCCAGGGGTACGGGTTGCGCCCAATAGTTCTTCAATCGGCTGCAAAGTGAAACAGGTTCATCGGTGAGCAAGCTTGCCTCTGCAGTCAACACCGAAATGACAAAAGAACGCACCTCCAGGTCGATGCGACTCTTGCGAAGGAGCAGATCCAAGGGGCGTGCACCCGCCTGCCACAGCAGTCCATCGCGTATCAATCGCAGGCGCAGCAGAACAGCGGGAAAGTACGGCATCGCGGTGAAAAGCTTACACAGTCTCTCGCATCCGGGTCGGCGCCATGAATCAAGAGCTGCTGAGCAACATTTCGGCTAGCAGAGAAGGCGTTGCAGGCTGCATGGAGTGGCGTTTGACCGTCCTATGAGGATCATCAATGTTTAGAAACATGAGCCTATTTGCAGTTTTTTCTTAAAGGGTTAGGGGAGGCTCAGGGGAAATTTGAAAAATCGGCACTGAAAGCCGTTTGAGCGCGCGAGAGAGGCAAAGGCACGATGGCAAGGGATGGGGTAGTGCTCGGTTCGAAGTCACAACATCAGAAAAGGGAAGCGGGCTAAAGATACAGCGGAACAAAGCGGGGTGCAGGGAGCAGCGACAACGGGCGGACGGAGATCGGGGAAAGAAGAGGGATAGCGGGAGAGAAGAAAAGGAGCAACGGGCAGAACGGACGCGCACGGTAGGCACGGTGTAGAAGAGATAGGGACGACACAGAGGCGACGAGCAGCAGCAGCAGCAGCAGCAGCCGGAGGCGAGGGAGGAAGAGGAGGGTACTGTACTGACGTTGTTCTTGGCTTCTGTATCAACACCGTGCTCCAACAGCATCTCCACCACCTTGTCATGACCCTCAAAGCAGGCAAAGTGCAGTGATGTATTGCCACGCTGTGGGATGATGCATCAACATGACGTACAGATACAGCAGCATCATCATCATGTGGTGCAGGGGCACCATCATAAGGGGGTAAAGGGGGAAGAGGGAGGTACTGTACTGACGTAGTTCTTGGCTTCAGCATCAGCACCATGCTTCAACAGCATCTCCACCAGCTTGACATGACCGTAAAGGCAGGCAACGTGCAGTGGCGTCCAGCCATTCTGTGGGATGATACATTCATGCAGTTTAAGTCCTATGTTACATATCATATCACCCAACTTACACATTCAAAGTGAAGTCAACATCATACCAAACAGCATACGTACTGCATTTCTGAATTGGGCAGCATCTCGAATACGTTGTTGGTCCCAACTGGTCACCAGCTGTAGCGCCTCTTGTGGATCTGACGTATAACTCGCACCCCACAGCTGCTCTCCATCATCGCTCATGGTAACAGTATCTCTCTATTCACCATCCGCTTCAAACCGCTTTCTATCCACCATCAATCTCATGAGCCCCACCAAGTATAACTCGTCTGACAACCCAGAATTCGGCGCGCGCAGTTTCCAAAACGGCAGCCGGTCAGCGGGTTCTTTGCTCTTCTCTGACTGATGCAAAACTGACTCACCTTTGTCCAAATATCTTGGGTGACAATTGTGAGGACAGGTGTACTTGGTTGCCCAGCGCACGCTGACGACCTGCGAGGCGAGATCAGTGGCCTCACACCACGTGAAAAAAAATGGCAGCGGTGCTTTCAATCAAACGTTCTGGCGTCACCGCAAGGCCCGAACCAGGAAAGTCCCGTACCAAGCACAAGCGATCAGTCACCACACACACACAAAGCAAGACACGTCAAGCAGCCCGCCGATGCCGAGACCGCTGCCAAAAAGGGCAACAAGAAGAAGATCAAAAGCAAATCAATGGCAAAAAGCCAAAGAGCTTTAACCAACGATGAGAAGCTGATGGCCAGAACTGTTGTTGTTGACGGGAGCGTGGCGCACCCGGCGCACTTTTCTTCCCATCCTTCTGCGAAAGGTGATTTTGGTTGCGGTCATTTCGCGGCTCCATGATCTCTTGCTCTGCGTTTCCATTGGTCATTGCCTGGGAAGCGCCCATGGCTGCCTGCGAAATAGCAGATAAACTCAAACTTGCTCTTGGAGATTGGTCGATCAAAGTTGCGGGAGGGGATGGCGGCGTGGGCTGATGCGAGGCTTCGGGCATCACAGGCATGGAAGCGGAGGCAGTCGCAGTCGTGGTGCGTTGAACAGGTTCTCGTAGCTCTGATCCACCCCTCAACAAAAAGGCGCGAGCGCGATCATCCATGTCAGACTGACGCGCCTGCATATCTTGCCTGGTGAGCGCGCGATCGCGCAGTATCAGTTGGCGCTCACTCGTCATCTCCTTCATAACCGAGATAAGCTTTGTCCCAACCTCAAGCGATGGGATTTTCTGTTGGCTTTCCCTAGTCACTTCATTGACGCTTGACGCCTGCTGCGAGACCCCACACATCGCTCACACCTGCCTCACATGTCCAATCCGTGCCTCTCGGGATGCTGGCTAAAATTTTAAATGTAAATGCTCAGAAATGGCGCCGGCGCGGGTCTTTCCAAAAATTTGCCGCAGGAAGGTGAGGGTGAGGGCGCGAGCGCGGGTGGCCGCCGCCCGATCCCGCCTGGGAGCCACCCGAGGAGGATTGGGAAGGGGCTGATGGCACATGTGGATAACCAGCGTGCGAAGCGGCGCGCCTCTGCGGGCGCATCTGGGGGCGACAAGGGGACCCTAATATAGTTGACACAAAAAATTGACCCACACGGGAAATCCCTTGAAACTTTTGCCAGGAAGTGACTGCGACCGTCGCTCGATCTAATGTGAGAAACAGGGGGTCGTGATCTATTACAAAAAGTCCTCGACCACTGTTAAGTTCAAAGTTACAGAGGGGTGTTTTTGAAGCCCTTTTCTTCGTCCAAAGATTAACTTTTCAATAGAATTGCGTTATTATTACATCATATTATTTTCGCTGACAATGTTCCTACTCTTCGATGAAACCGCGCGGCGTATGATGATGGTGGTGGCTGGGCAACCATGGTTGCCCAGACCATCAACACCATTTTTTGACTTGACCATCAAGCACCACCCCAGCCTCTGATCTTTCCACTGACTCCACGTCTGCTCAAAAGCCTTGGCCATGGCTTCGATCGAGACCGCGCTGCTCGCGCTGAGCCACCACATCATGTCCAGCCCAAGGCTGACTGTGTTGGAGCAGCTCACGCACCGGTCGCTCCACACCTGTTGCGCCACCCCCACCCAAGGTGGTCAACCCCCGGCTCATTGAGCACTGCCAGCCGATGAAGCCGGTGCTTCAGCATGGGCCGTGGCGCCACCGTCCTGCTGAGCCCACGGGACCGACGGATATCTTTTTATCCGTAAGGTTCAACGAGGGCTTGCTCGCCGCACAGTCCCTTCAACATGCGCTGGAGCTCAGAGGCTTGCGAGTCTTCCTGTGCTCTGTGCAGGCGGGGTGTGATCTTATCACGACCATCGCTGAGCACCTTGATGCGACCAGACTGGTCGTCATCTTGGGCACTGAGACGTACGGGTATGACACCGGCTCAGGCTGCTGCACCGCCGATGAACTTAAGTACATCGCAGCAGAACAAAAACCTTTTTTTTTGGTGAAGATGTGCGAAAGGTTCCGTGTACCTTTGGCGCGCTTCATCTTTGCCGACGTGATGTATCACGTCTGGAAGCCCACGTCGGGGCACGTCAATCTGACACCCGACCCGCTTGTCAACAGCATCGCCGTGCGCTACCACACGCTGGCCGCGACGTGACCGGCACTTATCACTGCCGTCGGCGCAAGCGTCAATGTAAATAATTTTACCGTCAGCATTATTCAAGGACAAAGTTTACAAGACACCTGTATTTAAAATTTTATGTCCTTTGAATGCTCCATCGATGTACATACATAGTACATACATGGATGTATGTAGGTTACATTGTGTTAATGTCACGTGTAAATTAATTTGAACGCACTTGCGAATTGATAATAATAATAATAGAACATGACAAATTTTTCACCAGTCAGACTTTTTGGGGGCAAAACATAAAAATACAAACATACATCGGATGTAAAATTTAATCTAGATTCACATGTCAAAAACACCAGCATACAAACAAATTTCGAAGCGCTGCAAACCGAGGCCTGTACGTACACGCGTACTGCCCCATGACACCTCATCCGTAACGAGCAGCTTCGAGCGCGCCACAAACTAGGGCCTATACGTACAACGCGTACTGCCTGTCATGGCATTACAAGTTCGTTGCCTCACCGATACTGCCCCTCCGATCATATCAACGAGCAACCATTTTTCTGACCAGGAGTTAAAATTATGGCGACTCACATCATCCCAAAGGAATGAGCAGCATCATTCGCCCTTTTCTTCGCTCCAAGTGACTGCCACGGCTAGAAGCTTTTGATATCCTCAAAATTCGGGAAGCCCGACCGCGGCGAGGCGCAGATCTTCACACAGCAGCAGGGCCCAGATCCTGGCAGAGCGCCCATATCGATCAATTACCTCTGCCAGAAGCAAAAAAGAAAGAGATCAAAAAAATTTCATGCTAAGGTCAGCTGCTTTTAGAAGATTATGTTCTGTCTGTGGTCAATTCACAGGGCGAACAGAGAAAGCTCCAAAGTAAAAAAAAAACACTTCTGGTCGACAAGACCGTACTTGTGGCAGGACCAATCAGGCTTCCATGACGAGTGCCGTCAAGGATAATCAAACATCCTGGTTGATCGCAATTGCCAGGGCTGGTATCTTCCAGTGTGATCTAGTAACTTCTGGGCATACGTCTATGCTTGTAGTCCAATAACAGCAATCGACAAGCCTACCACAGGCGTCACCCATTTCAATTCGTTGGTGCAGCTTGAGTAGCAAAGGTTAGAGCGGCCAAGCCGTCACCAAAAGCTTGTAGGTCTTGGACATTGAACAATAGAGGATCCACGCGCCAGCCGACGCTACAGAGAACAGCAGCAGCGCATCGCCAGCGTCTGGCCTGCTCCGCATGAATCAAGCCTTGGACTGGCGTCACGTTGAAATTCGATGAGAACAAGACAATGCAAACAATGATTTGGGAATCAGGTTCGCACCATTGGTATTCGAGGTTTTGTAGGAGCAAGGGGTACGGGTTGCGCCCAATAGTGCTGCAACCACCTATAAAGTGAAACAGTTTCATCGGTCAGCAAGCTGGCCTCTGCAATCAATACCACAAATAAAAAAAAGACTCGCCTCCAGCTTGATGAAATTCTTTGAAAGGAGCAGATCCAAGGGTCGTGCGCCCGCCTGCCACAGAACGCTATCGGGCATTAATCGCAGGTGTAACCAAACAGCGCAAAAGGCAAGACATCGTGGTAAAAGGCTTACAAAATCTCTCGCATCCGGGTCGGCACCGTGCCGCAAGAGTTGCTGGATAGCCTTTCGGGTGGTAGAGGAGAAAACGCAGGCTAGATGGAGTGGCGTTTGGCCGTGCTATATTATAATCCATGTACAGAAACATGAGGCTTGTTTTCGTTTTGTATTTGGAAAGGGGCATGGGTGGGTGGGAGTGAGCGTCGAGCGTGTCGGGGTACAGCTGAAGAAACGCCCACTGAAAGCGGCTTGAGCGCGCGAAGGAGGCAGAGGCGCGATGACAAGGGATGGGGTAGAGCTTGGTTTTAAGTCACAACATCAAGAAAAGGGGAGCGGGCGGAAAATACAGCAGAACAAAGCAGGGGGGACATGGTGCACCGATAACGTGCGGAGAGAGAGAGAGAGAGAGAGAGAGAGAGAGAGAGAGAGAGAGAGAGAGAGAGAGAGAGAGAGAGAGAGAGAGAGAGAGAGAGAGAGAGAGAGAGAGAGAGAGAGAGAGAGAGAGAGAGAGAGATAGAGATGGGGCAAAGGCGACGAGCAGCGGGGAGCAGGAGCAGCAGCCAGAAGGGGAGAAGAGGGAGACACTGTACTGACGTCGTTCTTGGCTTTGGTATCAGCACCGTACTTCAACAGCACCTCCACCACCTTGACACTAGCCCTAATGCAGGCCTCGTGCAGCGGTGTTTCGTCATCCTGTGGGAGGATGCATCAGCATGACGTACAGGTCCAGCATCATCATCAGCATCATCATGTGGTACAGATGCACCATCATGAAGGTACTGTACTGACGTCGTTCTTGACTTTGGTATCAGCACCGTGCTTCAACAACATCTCCACCACCTTGTCATGACCCCAAATGCAGGCCCAGTGCAATGGTGTCCAGCCATCCTGTGGGAGGATGCATTCATGCAGTATGTCTCTCATGTTATACCATAACGTCTCCACATTCAGGTTCACACATCATCATATACCAAACAGCATACGTACATAACCCTTGTGTTGGACAGCATCTCGAATACGTTGTTCGTCCCAACTGGTCACCAGCTGCAGCGCCTCTTGTGAATCTGATGAACGACACGCAAAGTACAGCTGAAATCCATCATCATCACTCATGGTAACGGTATGTCTCCATCACCACCCGCTTCAAACCTGCCCTCTGGCCTCTAGCCTTCACCAAGCTCATGAGCCACCTCCATCAGACGACAAACTAAAATTCGCAAGTTCCAAAACGGCAGCCGATCAGCGGTTCTTTGCACTTCCGTGCCTGAAGCGCCAAACGACTTACCTCTGGCCAATAGTTATCGGAGACAGTTGCAAGGCAGGTGGACCTGCTTGCCCAAGCGCACGCTGTCGACTGTGAGGCGAGATCAGTGGTCCCACTGAAATCAAAAAGTGGCAAGGGTGCTTCCAATGCAACGTTCTGGCGTCGCAACAAGGCCCTGACTAGAAGAGTGCCGTACAAAGGGCAAGCGATTAATCAGCCACGACAGACAGCCAAGGCACGTCCAGCAACCCGCCGATGCAATGTCAATATCGATGCCAACGAAAGCAGAAAAGTTGACAAATAAGGAGAAATGCAGAAACACAACACATGTTCCAAACGTTTTTTTTTGTTCCGCGAAGCATCAAAACGTCATACGAGCAAGTTCCGAAGCGCCGCAAAACCGGGGCTTGTACGTACACGTGTACTGCCTCTCTGTTAGCCGTGGCAGCTGGTCAACATTCCAAGCCCATTGGCGACCCGCTTCAACGCTGCCGACTAGATCAAACATCTCCCGAACCAGAGGCGAGCGACCATTCCCGACGACGAGCAAGCCAACTTGACTTCTTGAGCGGCAACTCGTGTCCAAAGGAAACAAGCAGTGAGTCATTGACGTTTCTTGGCACTAGAAATGACTACCAACGGGGTTCTTATGTCTATGCCTCCCAAACCCCTCCCCAGTAGTGTTGGGAAGTGCCGGCGAGGTTTAGATTCTGGCAGAGCGCCCAAGCCAATCATTACCACTCTACCAGAAGGCACCAAACGAGGAGATCATTTTTTTTTTTTTTTTGTTATCGGAATCTGGGCAGCTGCTGCTTTAAGTTCCCGGGGATGTCTATTCAGATGCACATATCCGTGCGCGCTACCCTGCAGCCACACTCATGGATGCTTCAAGAGCAGGCGCCATCAACTGACTGACCATCTTATTACTACCGTCACATCAGAAGGCATTTCCATCGCCTGTTTGTAGCTCTTGGCTAGCAAACTGAACTGTTCCTCTCACCATGTACGAACTGTGAGGCACGGCTTGTGCCCCGACTGCTGTCAAATGATGCTCATACGGTTGCAACGCCGAACTTGGGTCAATAATGATATCTTGCTTGGAGCAATCACATAAGCCCTATTGGAACACAGGCCATCAAGGAGGATCGTTGTATCGTTGTCGCCACACTTTCTCACCTGTTCATGCAATTGCCTTTTGGTCGACTTGACCACTCGATCAGCCTAAAGAAGTACAATTTCAGCATTTTGAAAGCTCAACTCGAGTCGTTGGTAAATTGCTTAGTTGGAGTTGGCTTTACAGGGAAGTCAGAAGTGCACGATTGGCGAGAGGAAGGAAAGGCGCTCCTCTTGTTGGTGGTTGCCGGACCTCGTGCCCGTTTACGTCGCCAAGTCCGACCAGCTGTGGATGGTGGAATCCAATTCTTCACCACAGCGCATGGATGCCTTGATTTCCCTCGGCTTTTACACGTGCCTCGGGCTCGCCAAAAGTATTCCAGCCATGATGCTCAGCAACTGGCTCGAGCCGGATACCAGTCGCAGGCGCCAGGAACGACCCTTGATATGTGTGGTCAGGCAAGAAGGATGGACATCAGCCACAAGGCCATGCTGTACCTTTTGGTCTGAATTGCGGACGGTCGTGCTTAGCCGCGAGCGAATGAATAAAGTACAATGTAGATCAGAGCGACAAAATTTAAGACTGGATCGAAAACAATCACAACGAGACTGCGGATCAGTTTAGCAAACTCAATAGAAGCTTTCAGGCGTTGAGGACAAGCAGCGAAATCATGGCCAGGGCCAGCCATAAGCTTGGCGCCGACGTGGTGCCGGTACCTGTTGATTTTTCAACGCCCAACTTGCTGCCCGATGTGTGCAGGCAGTCAAAGCTGAAGGATGCGATTTGCTTCATGGCCATGACGCCGAGCGTATGCATGGCTCCCTCTACAAGGTTGCACGCACAGGTGAAGTGAAGGTCGCAAACTTGTCGAAAGGGCCAGCAAGCAGGATTCAACATTAATGTTCCCGTACCTTCGAGGTCATGGGCCGAGGTGAAGCATTCGTTGGCACGAACAGACTCTTCTAGCAACAGCTCGCTACAATCATCCGAGTAAAAGCGGATGGTGGCTCCGCCATTGGGTTGACACGTGGCCGTGATGCGATTATGTGCCAACTGCCGGGTGAGATGCGTGCGACAGGCATTATTGCTGCAGAGCATGCCCACGGACGTCTTGTACATAGACGACGCAAAGGTGAGGGAGGCTTCGCAAGAATCGCGCAAGGCCAACGCCACCACAAAGGCACCGGCGTCACAATGTTCATCTGAATGCAACTGCATCAGCGCGCGCACGTTGGCGGGGTGTTGTGCGGTGCACGAAATGGGAAACGTCTCAAACAGGCAGTTGTTCTCCGAGCTGGCGTGGTGGGTGCCTTCATTTTCCAACTCCGAGTGGCAGAGTGAATCACTGAAAAAGCGGACCCCCACCTCGCCATTGGGTAGGCAGGAAAAGGTGGAATAGTAACCCATGGAAAAGACGCATTCGTTTTCAGACACGGAAACAATGGCCTCGTCTGGCGAAGCGGTGTCGCCACATTGACCGCCAATGTAAACGTGGTTTCCACAGGCCCCGAGAGTGAGCGTGGCTACAGGCAGCGTCGGAAGTGGGGCGAGAGAGGTCACATGAGTCGGTCAGCAACGTGTGATCCGATTTTTGAGTATCAGACATGGCGTGGTGGGGGCGAGACAACGGACCCAAGGCCAAGAGCCAAAGCCTCGCGCGCGCCGGGGTGGGGTGGCGGTTTGTCAAGCCGCCCATGGTAACGGGATCGCCAACCAGGTCAACCCAGTCTGCTTGCCACAACCCCTAGGTACCGCTCGTTGATAGTGATCACACCACCCTTGTCCAAACAGCTGCAATCTTTCCCTCTCAGCCCCGCGCGCCTCGACCGTCTCGTCTCGACCCCGCGCGCACCAACAGCAACAAAAAGAAATTGTTACGACCCAAGCCTTTCTCATATGTGTGTGTGTGTGTGTGTGTGTGTGTGTGTGTGTGTGTGTGTGTGTGTGTGTGTGTGTGTGTGTGTGTGTGTGTGTGTGTGTGTGTGTGTGTGTGTGTGTGTGTGTGTGTGTGTGTGTGTGTGTGTGTGTGTGTGTGTGTGTGTGTGTGTGTGTGTG